GCGTCCGCCATGACGCACGCTTCATCATTAGTAGCAGTAGTATTTCTGAACATTTCAGTGTTTCTGCAGGATTCAACAGAAGAACTGTTTGGTAAATCAGTCAGTCAGTTTCGATTGGCCGCGTATGCTTTCAGGTCAAGAAGGAAGACGCATCAGACAGTGTATCCAACGTTAGTGATCCTTTGCCAACGTTGCAGCTTCGGCATAAGGTAACCCGAGCCTGGGAACGCAGTCCTTCGATACACAAGAACGACACGTTATTATTGGCCATTCCCGGGATTATCATCCGGTTGATTGATTAAATATAACTAAGTAACTGTTTTGCTTTTCTTTCTGGAAGCATTCTAAGGTAGTTCCCAAATCATCGCAGCTATGACTTCTCAATCGGCCGGATCAGCAGTTGCAAGCCAAAGGTCCCTTGGAACCCTGAACTGGAGACTGAGGCCAAGACACGTGAGGCCATCGATTCGTTTCAGACAGCCAATTTCTGCCATCATATCAGAGATTGAAGTTTGTCGGTCACAGCCAACGAATCATGATTATAGATGAGTATGGGAAAATGAATTTGAATACAGACAGTCTAATCTTCACGCTCATCTCTTCCTCAGTCAAAGATGTTCCGGGTTGTTTAGGCTGGCCGTTGCAATTCGCATGACGATTTCCTCCTCTCATTGTTCATAACCGGTTCACACGTTCCCATGGAAATTTCTCCACCTGCTCCACTGCTTCTCAGCTTAGATGAGGATCGCAGTGGGTATGAGAAAGAGAGAGTACTAAGCTTTACGCTTCAGACACCTTCACTCTGCTGCGAACCTTTCCAGAGAACGCTGGAGATCAGTTCTAAAAGACGCTAACAAAACAAGACCGTCTGTAAGCAGCAACTTTCTCGTCTTCACATCTCCTACACCAATACACTCATCACCTTGGCAGCTCCTGACCTATTCTGTCCATGTACAACACAAACAGAAGAGGGGACAGCACGCAGCCTTGGCGGAGACACGCACAAACACTGGAAAGATTCGACTTAGCGCTATTTATTATGACACAGAATACCCGCCATCAACATGCAGTGATTGGATGGCCCGTAACAACTGGTCATCGATGCCATATGTTCGTAGGCATTCCAACAGACTGTTGCGCGACGTCCGGTAATAGGCTTTCTCTAAGTCAACAAAGCACATGTATACCGGATGAGCGAACTCCCAGACTTTGTCAACAGTCAATGGTCAGGCGTAGAACGAATATCTGGCCACACATGCTTCGGCCGGGCCGAAAGCCACGCAGCTATTCTTGTA